AGGACAATCAAAGTGACAGGCGCAGGTGAAATAACAAGGAAGATGGAGGAATTGCCTACGCCGATTAGGAAGTATTCTTGAGATACATATATAAAATGCAACTGTGGTTTCATTATATTGTGGAGTGATTTCACAGTGGAGGCTTGTATTTGTACTAAGTCGGCCCTAAAATAGGTTCGACGTACAAAACGTTAGGAACTTGATATAATAGGTATTACGCAGAGTAATTTTGTTGTGGTCGCTGACTACTTTCGTATTCGACTAACTGTCGACTACTGTCGTCCGACATCGACGCTATTTAGTAACTGCCCCACGCAGTCACATGTGGCACAAGGTCGAATTTAATGTGGGGTTCCCGAGCCCGTAGGCTCGGCCAAAAAATCCCTGTAGACCCCGCATAAATGGGTCTGTCTACCTCCCCGAACGAGACTCTGCCCGAAGGCATAGTCTCGTAGTTCCTCTCGCCCGAAGGCAGAGAGTTCGACTGTCATCCGACATCGACTAGTATTTAGTCACCCCACCACGAGGGTATCATGTGGCACGAGGCCGGTTTAACGTGGGATCTCCAGGCCCGTGGGCTCGGCAAAAAGACCCTGAACCCGTATAAAAGGTTCAGGGTCGATTTAGACTTCGTCGGCGTAGCCTCGTTCAGGTTCCTGCCCGAAGGTAGAGAGTTCAACCGATCAGCCGGTCGTCCGACATCGACTAGTATTTAGTCACCCCACCACGACGGTATCATGTGGCACAAGGCCGGTTTAACGTGGGATCTCCGAGCCCGTGGGCTCGGCCAAAAATATACCATTTGAATCCGTATAAACGGGTTCAGGGTCGGTTTACCTCCTCGAACGAGACTTCGTCCTTCGGCGTAGCCTCGTTCGGGTTCCTCTCCGCCCGAAGGCAGAGAGTTCAACCGATCAGTCGGTCGTCCGACATCGACTGACCCACGTTTCTCTTACTACTCTTACTTATTATAGGTGGGAGAGTCTATTATAGGTATAGAATAAGTGTGTTTCACCATAACACATTACGAATTTCGGATATTGCATCATCAGTTCCGTTCTGCCAGGTACCCCGACCTGTTGACAGGCCGCCTCTCCGTATAATTCACTCAACCACCGGCCACTTATCTAATCACTCACTCATCCAGAAAACAAATACGAATCACACTCGAAATACGAAACGCGTCCCACATTCACCTTTATTTTTATGTGTCATGACCTTTCAGGTCGTAGACGATCATGGCTCTCCACATCCTTCTATCCTTTGCATCTCTCAACAACTACCTTCCCTCTGCTTCCTCCCCCAGACCACATTCTGTCATCCACTTGCTTAAGGCCGCCAGGTATGTCATGCGTTGTTTTCCCTTGTCTTTCTTTTCCTCTATTCGACCTGTGAGTATCAGATTCTTCAGGCCCTCCTTCCTCATTATGTGTCCCAAAAACTTCAGCTGCCTCTTCCTGATATTAAGTATAACCCTCCTCCTTGTTTGCAACCTCTCTAAGACATCATCGTTGCTCACACGCTCGGTCCATGATATCATTAGCATTCTTACTGTTTTCTAATATATTATCCCAAAATAGGTTTTGTAATGAATGTTACACTAGACTGTCAGGGAAACGGGGTACAGGATTGAGGTCACAACCGACAGCTGAATAATCAAGTGTTTCCACCGTGCTGGACAATCTCCTCAAAGATGAAGAAACGACTTGAAGCAACAGAAATGCAGTTCTACCAAAGGATGCTGAGTGTACCATGATCCGAACATGCAAGCAAAGACGAAGTTCTAGAGGAAATGGAAACAAAAAAGGAAACTTATACTTAACATCTGGATGAGACAGGTGAGGTTTCTACGGCACATATTGAGGAAAGAGGGCTTGGAAAATCTGATACTCACAGGACAGATTGAAGGCAAGAGAGACAAAATAAAAGAAGAGAGTTTGAGTAAATGGATGTCTGAAAAGGGTTTATAAGACAGGCAAATTTTTTTTAAGAGCTACAAGGTCAAGCAGTTGTGGAGAACCATTATCGCCTTCGTCATGAAGGAACATGAAAGTTTCTACTTGCCTTGAAAATCAGCATTTGAAAGTTTCGGCAGCAAGACGTTTTTCCCTATGATGTCGTTTTTTTAACAACTCTCACTTTTAGGAAATATTTATTGTTTAAATAATATATGATTAGAATGGTAACAAATAAATATATAATGAAAGTGAATTTATACATTTTACAGAATAATTTTATATTTACAACATTGTAAAAACTAAGAAAATGCAACTAATGCAATGCAATATTTATTATTTACTAATCTCTTATATCTATAAAAGGCAGTGTGTGTGTGTGTTTAACGAATGCACGGCCGCAATTTTCGACGGATGTGCACCAAAATTTACATGCACATGCTCCAAGTTAGCAGGAAGCCCAAGACCGACTTTGCATTTGGAAAAATGTGGGAAAAATTTAAAGCTGCATAGCACTTTACTTTGGCTTATTCCCTTGAAGAACGTTGATTCTGATTGCGCAGAACTGGGTTGGGTGTGAAAAAGTATTTGTTGTTAACATTCTTTTTTCATTCGGTTTTTCCAGTTACGAGTCCTTTTTTAAAGCTGATCGTTTTGTGTTCATTTTGTTTAGTTCTTTTTTCGTAACAGATTTAATGTTTAGTATAGAGCTTAGAAAAATTTCGCAGTGTGAGGCAAGAAGTAAGGCATGTAGCAACATCAGCACGGCAAAGGGCACTCCTTTAAAGGCAATGAAGGGCAAAAATATCTTAAGTCAAGTAATAGCGATTGCTGAATGAGTCGCACGATTTTTGAATCAAGCACGGGCAACGCCGGGTCATGCTGTTAGTTTGTCTATATAATAAATACGAATATCAGTGTGTCACTACGTCACAAGTTTTCAGCTTTACTCCTAGAAGCCGTAACCCAATATATCATGCTATTTTGGAATCAGGTCGATTCCTAGAGCAAATTAAAAACATTCTAGGTCGGATCCAGACCTACAATCCTGAAATTTTTGGATTTTCAAGTTTTAATCACTACGATTGTTTTCGATCATATTTTTACATGATTTTTTACGACGAATTTTTTGTCCGATAACAATTTTTATAACTTGGAAATAAATTTGGGAATAATCGAAATTAATTGCGAAATCCAGCAAAAGTCACCCAAGAAATAAAAATAATTGTTTGTATGGAAAGTAAGGACCTATGTACATCAAATTGTTTTAAATTGAGGACAGAAGAATTATCGTTGAACTTTTAAAAGGTAAGTTTAAATATTAAGGCAATATTTAAATTCAGCGATCAATTCTGAGTTCTTCTGTAGTTGAGTTTAAGCAAGCGAATGAGCCAATTGGAGTAAAGTGCCATGCAGATTTAAACTATTTCTAATGTGACGAATGCAGCTAGCGATTTTTTCTTGCCTGCTAGCATACTAGTTAACATTCGTGTCAGTCAGCTGTTGGCTCTCACACTGGCCATTAGAATCTTCCTGCCTATTCGTGGTAGCCAGCTCTCACTCTGGCCAGTAGAAAATGGCCGCAAATTACATGAAAATTGCCGTAGAAGCATGAAAAAATCGGTTATTTCTACTATCGATGGGAGTTGGGAAATGCAATGTCGGTCTTGGCCTTCCCACTAACTTGGAGCATGTACATGTAAATGTTGGTGCAAATCCGTCAAAAATTGCGGCCGCGCATTCGTTACACACACACACAGACACACAGACACACACATCCTGCCTTTTATAGATAGAGATTTAGGTAAATGTGCCCTTGGGAAAGGTATGAATCCACCTCTTTTCCCTCCGGCTATGGGTTAATTAGTACGACTTACCACACTAAAAATAATCAATACTATCTTAAAAAAAAATAAAAATAAAATTGCGCACAAAACATTTAGATTTCAGCATTAAATAACCCATAGAAGTTTATATGCCGCTAAACAAAAACAATGTACCAATTATTTATTTATTAGATTATTGGAATGTTTGGCAAAACATCGGCTAATTACCAATCGATTCGAACTTTATATGGCGGTAAATAATAAAGATTTCTTCATAGTTGGTTCACATATTTTAATAATTTAATAAATGTTTATAAATTTATGAATCAAAAATTGTTTTCACATTTATTTCTCTGCTAGCTTAAAAGTCAACCTATTGGGTGGCATTTAAGATATCTCCTGTGGAGGTCTCTTGATTAGACCTTCATCACATTAAGTAAGAAGGAGTAGATGCTCCAAGTTAGCGGGAAGGCCAAGACCGACATTGCATTTCCCAACTCCCACCGATAGTAGAAATAATCGATTTTTTCATGCTTCTACGGCAATTTTCATGTAGTTTGCAGCCATTTTCTACTGGCGAGAGTGAGAGCCAATAGCTGGCTGCCACGAATAGGCAAGAAGATTCTAATGGCCAGTGTGAGAGCCAACAGCTGACTGACACGAATGTTAACTAGTATGCTAGCAGGCAAGAAAAAATCGCTAGCTGCATTCGTCACAAGTGGGAAAAATTTAAATCTGCATGGCACTTTACTCCAATTGGCTCATTCGCTTGCTTAAACTCAACGTTGATTCTGATTCCGCAGAACAGGGTTGGGTGTGAAAAAGTATTTGTTGTTAACATTCTTTTTTTCATTCGTTTTTTCCAGTTACGAGTCCTTTTTTAAAGCTGATCGTTTTGTGTTCATTTTGTTTAGTTCTTTTTTCGTAACAGATTTAATGTTTAGTATAGAGCTTAGAAAAATTTCGCAGTGTGAGATAGGCAAGAAGTAAGTCATGTAGCAACATCAGCACGGCAAAGGGCACTCCTTTAAAGGCAAGGAAGGGCAAAAATATTTTAAGTCAAGTAATAGCGATTGCTGTATGAGTCGTACGATTTTTGAATCAAGCACGGGCAACGCCGGGCAATGCTGCTAGTATATAATATTACGAAAGCAAGTGGAATTAGATCTCGGATTTGCAATTCCAAGCCATTATCTATTACACCACCCGCACATCCAAGATTACAGCTCCTGGCATTCCCAAACGGTCACCCATATAGTTATTGACCAGACCCGACGTTACTTAACTTCGGCGATCGCACAGAAACCGGTGTTTCAACGTGATATGGCCGTAAGTAATCTAATAAATAAATAATGTTTATTATTTTTGTTGCCCGTTCTCAAGAACAAAGAAAATGTAAAAATTCATTTTCAAATGTTTAGATATTATTACAATTCTAATCATTGTTTTTAAAAGAAACTTTGGCGAGGAGTGATTCAGAGTTGCCCTTCTCCTAGACCAGTTGCCAACCAAGGCTATAGAACCCGGCCAGTCCTGCTATTTACCCATAGATGGGGTAGAAAAAGAGGATTCATACATTTCCGAAGGGTATTATTAGCACATAAATGAATGTAATGGATTCGACTGGAATTCGAACTCGGCTCTCCGATTCCTCAATCGAAGCCGCTACTTCGCTGCCCCTCCTCTTTATTTTTATAGCACCAGATATTTTTTGATCAGAGCTCGTATATGCGTTGCGATTTATTTTTTTTTTTTTAAATTCCATCTCTGTTAAAGAAGTGGGACGAGGATTTTTCTTAATTACATATCCAAGCAGAGGGCCCGATTCTCCCCCGTTAAAAATATTGATTTTTATTTAAAGGCATAAAAAAGGGGGATATCATATCTTCCTTTCACTTAAATAAAAAAAAAAATACGGCAGATTTTACTTGCTAAAACGAGGAATACCCTTTTATCTCCCCCGGGTGGAATCCAATCCATGACATTTTAAAAAAAAAAATATCCTATCCCCACCACCCACAGACCACCCTGTACAACATTGAAAAACGCATGCTGAAAATTAGTTTGCTTCTTGAGGGCAAACATATTTGAAGAAGAAGAAGAAGAAGAAGAAGAAGAAGAAGAAGAAGAAGAAGAAGAAAAAACTACGAAAATATGCAGCGTAAATAAAGGCAATGTCGTCTCATGAGGCCATTTTATTGTCTCTTTCTCTTATTTCTTTGATTTTCTTCATGCGAGAGGATTTGCGGTAACGGTGGGTATGTATTAAAGAAATGCGCACATCAAACATACACTCACACACGTCATCGCAACGACAGACGCACGAAAACAGCAGAAACACAAAAGCAATTCTATCGATCTATTTCCCGTCGTTCGAATCCTTTTTTTCTTTCAAAAACTTTTAAAAAGCTTGTTTTCCTAATTTACATGTTTTCTTCATATCTATCTATCTATCTATCTATCTATCTATCTATCTATCTATCTATCTATCTATCTAAAACAATGTCCCTTCTCATCTATCTATCTATCTATCTATCTATCTATCTATCTATCTATCTATCTATCTATCTAAAATACTGTCCTTTCTTATCTATCTATCTATCTATCTATCTATCTATCTATCTATCTATCTATCTAAAACAATGTCCCTTCTCATCTATCTATCTATCTATCTATCTATCTATCTATCTATCTATCTAAAATACTGTCATTTCTCATCTATCTATCTAAAGCACTGTCCTTTCTTATCTATCTATCTATCTATCTATCTATCTATCTAATTCTGCACATATCTATCTCAGTCTGTTCATATCTATCTCAGTCTGTTCGTATCTATCTATCTATCTATCTATCTATCTATCTATCTATCTATCTATCTAAAATACTGTCCTTTCTTATCTATCTATCTATCTATCTATCTATCTATCTATCTATCTATCTATCTATCTAAAATACTGTCATTTCTCATCTATCTATCTAAAGCACTGTCCTTTCTTATCTATCTATCTATCTATCTATCTATCTATCTAAAATACTGTCATTTCTCATCTATCTATCTAAAGCACTGTCCTATCTATCTATCTATCTATCTATCTATCTATCTATCTATCTAATTCTGCACATATCTATCTCAGTCTGTTCATATCTATCTCAGTCTGTTCGTATCTATCTATCTATCTATCTATCTATCTATCTATCTATCTATCTAAAATACTGTCCTTTCTTATCTATCTATCTATCTATCTATCTATCTATCTAAAATACTGTCATTTCTCATCTATCTATCTAAAGCACTGTCCTTTCTTATCTATCTATCTATCTATCTATCTATCTATCTATCTAAAATACTGTCATTTCTCATCTATCTATCTAAAGCACTGTCCTATCTATCTATCTATCTATCTATCTATCTATCTATCTAATTCTGCACATATCTATCTCAGTCTGTTCATATCTATCTCAGTCTGTTCGTATCTATCTATCTATCTATCTATCTATCTATCTATCTATCTATCTATCTATCTATCTTTTTCTTTCACGGTAATTTATCACACAGTCTTAAAATACAACATTGAAATCAACATAAACTCTTTGAAAATGGCTAAGGAATTGGCCGGAAGCCCTTGGAACAATAGACAAATATTGTACACTCCCTTTCCCCCACTAAACGGAAATATTTCAGAATACTAGAAAAATTAGATTCTAAAGTTTCAGTTTCGTATCCGAACTTAAACAAAAAAATTTCGACAAGAAGACGAAAATAAATATACGTAAAAAAACAAAAAGCAAAAACAAAAGCGGAACGTCTATTCAAATATGGGTATCCACTAAAATAACGTTTAAATGACAAAAAAGCGTTTTTGTGTGTGTGATTGTAATAAAAATAATAATAATAATGATAATAATAATAATAATAATAATAATAATAATATGGGATTACACAATACACACTGACAGAACAATCAAGGCCAACCGCCCAGATATTGTTATTAAAGACCACAAACAAAAAAAGTGCCTCCTTATTGATATGGCAGTCCCTGCTGACTGCAATGTATCTTTGAAGATATTCAAAAAGTTGTCAAAGTACAAGGACCTCGAAATAGAAATCTCGAAAATGTGGCATATGGGAACATCAACAATCCCTGTTGTAGTTGGAGCCCTAGGACTGGTTGGAAAAGATTGCAGTAGACTAATTGAAGGGATTCCTGGAAGTCCATGCCTCAAGGAGATACAAAAAATTGTTCTGACAAGTACAGCCCACACTTTACGAAGGGCTTTATCTATTCAATTTTTTTTTTTTTTGTCAGTGGAAAGTGTCATGATGTCTTTTCTAACTTTAGGTCCCTGGGTGGGACCCGGAAAGAAATGTGTAAACGCCAGAAATCAAAGAAAATAATAATAATAATAATAATAATAATCAAAGCTAATCGCCCTGACATCGTGATTAGAGAGCGCAAAGAGAAAATGTGCCTCCTTATTAATATGGCAGTCCCTGCAGACTGTATGTATCTTTGAAGATCTTCAAAAAACTATCAAAATACAAAAACCTTGAAATCGAAATCTCAAAAATGTGGCACATAGGAACATCAACAATTCCAGTTGTAGTTGGAGCACTCGGGTTGATTGAAAATGATTCCAGTAGACTCATTGAAGGGATTCCTGGAAGCCCATGCCTTAAAGAAATACAAAAAAAAATGTTCTCACGGGTACAGCTCACACCTTACGAAGGACTTCATCTATGGAAAATATGTGCGATTTTTTTTTATAAACTGCTCAGTGGGTAATGTGGTGATGCCGATTATGACATTAGGTCGGGACCCGGAAAGAAATGAGTATAAACCAGAAAACAAAGAAAATAAAACAATAATAATAATAATAATAATAATAGTATCATCTGAATTTATGCTGATTTTTGGCAGAAATCGAATACTTTCTTGGCTCAAAGGATAAAAGCGATGGTTGAGTGATCAAAAGTGTCTTAACCCAAAGTGTTGTGAGTTCAATCTCTGCCCACAACAGAGAGAACCAAAAATAACTTGGTCCTTTGAGTTATCAAGGAGAATTAACTAAAACTAAGATATCCAAAGGCATGGCGCGTGGAATGAGAACAATCCTGCCTCTTGGAGTAAATAAAGGGTTCGATTCGAATTTCCAAATACCACCAGAACATCGGGAATATGACAATAAAGATGAGAATAACACTGTAAATAGCGTAAATAGGTAAAATAACCCATTTCAGAAATAAAGACAGAAATAATTTCACTATAAAAATTCATATGGATTTTATTTGATTATAAAAATGGATTTAAAAAAAGATTTTACGATAAAAATGCATTATGATTTTAATGTAAAATTTCTTTGGTAAATGATTTTAATATACAAATGCATTGGGAAATGATTTAACTATAAAATGCGTTGGGAAACGATTTTAGTATATAAATTCATTGGGAAAGGGTTTTACTATAAAAATGCATAGGGAAATGATTTTAATATAAAATTACTTTGGGAAATGATTTTACTATAAAAATGCATTGGGAAATGATTTTACTATAAAAATGCATTGGGAAATGATTTTACTATAAAAATGCATTGGGAAATGATTTTATTATAAAAATTCAATGGGAAATGATTTTACTATAAAACTGCATTGGGAAATGATTTTACAATAAAAATGCACTGGGAAATGATTTTACTATAAAAATGCATTGGGAAATGATTTTACTATAAAAATGCATTGGGAAATGATTTTACTATAAAAATGCATTGGGAAATGATTTTACTATAAAAATGCATTGGGAAATGATTTTATTATAAAAATTCAATGGGAAATGATTTTACTATAAAAATGCATTTGGAAAGGATTTTACTATAAAAATGCATTGGGAAATGATTTTATTATAAAAATGCATTTGGAAATGATTTTACTATAAAAATGCATTTGGAAATGATTTTACTATAAAATGCATTGGGAAATGATTTTAATGTAAAATTACTTTGGGAAATGATTTTACTACAAAAATGCATTGGGAAATGATTTTACTATAAAAATGCATTTGGAAATGATTTTAATATAAAAATGCATTTGGAAATGATTTTACTATAAAAATGCATTGAGAAATGATTTTACTATTTTACTATAAAAATGCATTGGGAAATAATTTTAATGTAAAAAAATGATTTTACTATAAAAATGCACTGAGAAATGAATATATTATAAAAATGCATTGGGAAATGATTTTATTATAAAAATGCAATGAGAAATGATTTTACTATAAAAATGCATTGGGAAATGATTTTATTATAAAAATACATTGGGAAATGATTTTACTATAA